ACATTTTTGGTGAAATTATTAGTGTCCTACCTTGAATATCCAATAAATACTCTGAAATGAATAGATGTTGTTTTCTTATGCAGTTATAACGTAGACACGACAAATCACTTCTTGCAAATAATTCGATAGGAAAACAAAGTGTAAAATGGGCTAATAGCAATTGAAAGTGTTGATAAACTCTGATAATAACAAGTTATATCAAATGAAAGAGAAACTCCTAAGGTTTCAATTAAAAAATATTATTTTGTTTCGTTCATTTTTCAAAAAAATATGCAGCCTTTAAGTTCTAAATAAACATTGATTTTTACACGAAAATTACATTTTTCGTTCAATTCCGTTGGACATTTGCACATAGAAGATAGGTCGTCGGGACAATTTTTTTTTTTAACTTATCGCACATAATGTAAGCTTAAATTTAACATATGGATTAAGAACGCAGTATTTCCCGGAACATTTTTTCAAAAGTTAAGTTGAAAAATGTCTAATTTTTATTCATGTGTTTCAAGTTTTGAACGCCTCCTGTAATTCGGCCGACTTAAAAAAAAATTATGTCAGATGAAAGGGCTATATATATAATATATTAAGAAACAAAAATTTTTGTTGATCCTTACATTTTTCAAAAAGTTATAATAATTAAAATTTAAAAACATAAAATCGAAAATTTTAATACAAATATAGCATTGTTTTACTATGGTACACATTTAAACTTAGAAGATAAGTTGTTGAGACTAATTTTTTTTAATATATAGTACGTACATAATATTAAAAATTAACTTTTTATTATTATTATTATTTTTTTTGTGTCTGTCACTATTTTTACTCACTTCTCACTGGACCGATTTTTCTCAACGATACGTCAAANTTTTTTTTGTGTCTGTCACTATTTTTTCTCACTTCTCACTGGACCGATTTTTCTCAACGATACGTCAAAAGATCACAAATTGTATATAATTGAAGACATTATCCTCAAAAATTAAAAAATTTTCCTTCGTCCCTTGTAAATCTGGAAAATCCCCCAAAAAATTTTTAAAATCGATAAATTTTGATATTACTCAATTTTTTTTTTTTAACTGCCATAACTAATTGAAAATTGGACGAATCAAAATAATTTGTTTTTATATCGAGACCTTAGATATTTTCCTTTTATGTGATATAATTTTTTTTTAAATTAAAAAAGTTTTTTTTGAAAACAGTTAACCTGTTCACAGGGAGGGATTTAAAGTAACAACTTTTTTACCAAAGTCAACTTTTTCAATTTAAGTTTTGAAAATGTTCCGGAAATAGTCCGAGCTACAAATATATGTGAAATTAAAGCTTATGATAAATACTATAAGGTCAAAAAAAAAAAATTGCCCCGACGACCTATTTTTATATGCAAATAGTAATCAAAGTTGAACAAAAAATAAGAGTTCATAATTAAAGCCTTTCAATTTTTATTCATGTTTGCCATAAAAGTAATAATTACTTTATAATTTTTATAAATTCTCCAAAAAATTTACAATGTTAAATTATTAAATAATCAAACTAATACTTATTTAATTGCTATGATAAATATTAATTCATACATAGGGTGTAAATCTTTCGAACCATAGTAATGTATGGGCGAGTATCCGGGTAAAGTGTAAAATAGGACCTCGTTTTTTTTTTTATTATTATTTTCCAAAATTGGAGGAATTTTGGAATAACCCCCCCGAATTTCTCTAAAATAAAAAATAAATCATACCACAATATTCCCCGCAAAATTGTCATACAAATTCAGTGGTCCCTCGATTTTTTGTAACTTTTGCGCCCTCCCCTGAACTTTGGGCTCAAAGTTGGAAAAAAATTTCACATTAGTATGACCCATTAATTTGTATTGAAATTTAACTGGGAGTCCTGCGATGTAGTTTATTTTTAGTATAAACGATTAAATAACAAGAAAGACCGAAAAACCCACAAATAATGTGATATTTTTTTAATTTCATGAGTTTATTTCGTCTTTTATTATTTATTCAAACCGATTATAATTTTTATCATTGAAACAGTTATAAAATTATAATTTTTTTCTTTTTAGGTCGGGGAAATAAAACAATTATAATATTGAAATGAATATTTTTAACTTTATTACAATAGGATAATTAGAAATAATTATTTTAATGTAATCGGCACACTACTCTTTTCCGAAATTAATTAATAATGAGAATATGGTACATCACTGAGCTTGTTAATGTTTATTTAAATGTTCGAAAAATTCTGTTCACTATTGAATAGTCACTTATTAAGTTGCACATAAAATTAGATAACCTTTAAAATATAGCTTCTTTTTTTGTGCAATAAAAATGTATAAATATTACATTATGTGTAGGTTTTTTCGGTTTTTCTTGTTATTTCANTTATGTGTAGGTTTTTTCGGTTTTTCTTGTTATTTCATCGTTTATACTAAAAATAAACTACATCACAGGACTCCCAGTGAAATTTCAATACAAATTGATGGGTCACACTAATGTGAAATTTTTTTCCAACTTTGAGCCCCCAGTTTAGGGGAGGGCGCAAAAGTTACAAAAAATCGAGGGACTACTCAATTTGTATGAGACTTTTGCGGGGAATATTGTGGTATGATTTATTTTTAATTTTAGAGAAATTCGGATGGGTTATTCCAAAATTCCTCCAATTTTGGAAAATAATAATAAAAAAAAAACGAGGTCCTATTTTACACTTTACCCGGATACTCGCCCATACATTACTATGGTTCGAAAGATTTACACCCTGTATAATACCTTTAAATTAAAGAACTAATCAGGAATAATAAAGATAATAGGAATTCATTTTGCTTATGGTATAATCCACCAACTTCTTAAGATTAAACACTATCTACAGATTTGCATCGAAATGTTTCTTATGATAGTGATTTTAATCATAATCTGATATCATCTATACTTGTACCATCTATGGTCTATACAGTACCGCGACCCTACTGTGCTATTGTTTTTTTTTTTTTTTTAAAGATATAAATCAATATTTATTTTATTTTGATATATTTTTTATTGCAATTTTCCTCAGGTAGACCCTATTCACCCATGTCTCCTACATAGTAATATAATCTATATAATTTATTTTTAATGAGCACTTTAAAAGTTTAAATTTATCAATTGTACTGATAAAATGCACATGTCTTATTTTAATTATAAATTTGTTTTTCATTATCATTATTCTAATTCAATAAATAATGAGAGCAGATATGTTAATCACATAAATCTAGTTTAAAAGAATACCAAGTATTTAAGTCTTAAATATTGTTAAAGTATAAATATTCGAAAAGACTTGTTATGTATCAGGGGTGTCATATGTATTAAATTTATTATTCTTTACTGTATGAGTGTTATTGGTTAATATTTTGTTTGAATAGTGTTCTTTAATACCTAAATTAAACTGTATTATAATTGTTTTTAATTATATTATTCATAATTTAATTTTGATTCAGACAGAAAATAATGTCAAATAAGTATAAATAATAATTTTAATAAAAAATATCATAAATAGAAATGGAACAAACAGTGACGGAATATCTTTGAATATTTTATTTTAATTGTTAAGAATATACATTCATTTGCTTACATATTGATTCATCTTTTTGAACACCTACGTCATTGTATGATTAAACATAATTAAAAAATATATTTACTAGGTATATAAATTTTATTTCTAAGTATTCATCTATGTATTCTTTATTAAATACGTAAAATAATTAAAATTAAACATAAAATCAAATACGATAAAATTATGAATTATTAATTAAGAAAATTGAAAACTATAAGATTAATATAAATAATAATGTATAATATTTGTTTTATATAAGATATGTTATATTTTTCAAATAAACTATATTACTATTTATTAATTAGGATAATTTTATTTTTCTCTGTGCATCTTGAAACGCATACATGAAAATTAATTATTAACTATAATGATATTTTGTTGAATAGTTATAATCTGTTCGTTATAGTTTGAATTATACAATTATCTCATTTAGGGATAAACATTTTTTATAGTTCTTCTAAAATTGATAATTTGTTTGTATACAAACTACTGGTGGGCACAAACTTCTAATAACTTTTTATTAGAAGTTTCCAATATATAAGTGGCTATTTAGGGATTGAGTCTAAATGCTCGCCAACAGTAGTCTAGGGTCTTACATAAGACGAATAGAAAAATATTTCTATAAAATTTTTTTGATGAGAACAGTAATTAATAAACTTATGATTAAAAAAAAAATAGATTGAAGTATAAATGTATTAATTAGTATTTTAAAAAATATGATAATTTTTTTTTAATAATTTTAATTAATTTATAATAATTTAAAATCAACTAGCAAGTATTAACATTGTTTAATTTTTAATTTAAATAGAAGAGACAAAATAATTTTTATTCATCATTACTGGAACTCTTATTTATTTTTATGAGAATTAAATTAAAATATAAAATTAAAAAGCTACCGTCTTTTCTTTTTATTAAAAATATAATATAATGATAATATTGGATTAAAGCCGCATAAATGGTATAGCAAGAGGATCTAAGAAAATTATTATTGCTACTGACTAAAAATAAATATTTCTGATGCTATAAAAAACGCTTATTCTAACAAATTAGTTTGCTCTTGGTAGAATTACAAAAAAAATTAGCGCACTACAATAACGTCCGTAAAAGTAGTGCACTACTTCCAAACTATGCAAAAACTACAGTTTATCTTATGCTCCAACAAAAATACTAAAATTCAGTTAGTCTTCTATACCGATTTACTTCTCAAAAGACTTTATAATTATCTTTTTAATGAACAATCATATTATATCCTGTAAATTATTAATATTTAAATTTTGCAGCTTTTAAAATTTTTTGTTTAAAAGTTTGATTTATTACTTCCATTGCGTATTTTATATTTAAATTTGTACGTAACTAATACAAATAACAAATATATATATATTTTTTTATATGCCTTTATATAAATCTACATTATATTTTAAGTTTTTCTTAATGAATTTATACTTTCATTATAAATAGATAACTGCACTGTTTTATTACCAAAACCTATTTAATATTCTATTAAAAATTTTGCAAAATGAACTGTGTAATTTATTTTGGTATGTTATTATATGTTAAATCTTCTTTTGTGATAAGTTCGGTAATTAAAATAAAAATTCATTATTTATAATTCAATTCTTAAACTTTAATTAAAAAAGTTATCTGTTTACTAGACCGATCGGTGTTTTGAACTTATTAATAAAATTCTATGTGATGAATACAATCTAATTCCAACTAAAAAGCTATCACAAAAAGAAAGACTTGATAAAGTAACGTTTTAACATATAATAAAAAATAATCACTAATAATATTTAAAATTAAAAATATATTGAAAAAATTACAAAAATTACTAAAAAATTTCGGATACGTTTTCGGTAACCATTAGCTAGTACACTCATAAGCAAGTTGCTTTGCTTTCTTTATTCCATTTTTGTGTTTGGAATAATTTTGATATTACGATTTCGTTATATCCATTAAATCAATTTCTCTTATATCCACAGTTCTTTATCAAAATCTATTTTACTCATCAAAATATTAACTTATCTGTTAAGTTTACTACTTAAGCTGACATATTGAGTTGTCAGCTATGGTTCGAATTGTTCGGAATGTGTATGTGTTTTCCGATAAATTTCAAAATTTAGTTACCTCTACTTTTCTAATTTATGAATCCAAAAAATCCAATCCTCCCTCTACTTTCTTTTCGTACGTGAATTTAATGGATAGGTAAAATTAATTTAAATATTGTAATAAGTCCACCGTATTTATTACTAAAAATATCATTTACATACCCTAACTCAAATTTTCCATAAATTTATTTCAAACCTACTCATGAAAAGTCTTTAATGAAAAATTTGAACTTTTTTTCAATTAATAATTTTAGGTGATCGCCCATTAATTTTTCGGTGTAAAATTTGTTTTAAGATCGAACATAATATTTTTTTAGTATTAACTCAGTATTTCTGTTTCTTCAACGGAAAACACAACGTTAGTGTAAAACTCAACTAATTTTTCACCTCAATTTTCAAAAAATAAGATAACTTATGGTTTATTGTCTTTTTATTTTTAAGTCCTGAAAATAAATTTTGAAATTTTTTCTTTAACTTTTCTATTTTTGTTTAAAATTTGTATTGAATCATCTGGTACATTTTCTGCTCAAAAATATCCTACTGTAAAATTTTAAATTATTCTTTTTATGTAAAACAACGTTTTAACTCTTACGTATATACATATTTTATTGACTATTTATATTTAATGTTGAAGAAACACGTGAAATTATTATTAAGACTTGTATGGAAACATAATTAAGTATAAATATTATATGTTATCAGGCTAATGAAATAGCGTTAATGTTTGGAAATCAGAGTGTCGAACCAATCGATGAATATGTGGTAATTTATTTTTATCAAAAAATTTTTGTTCAAATAGATATTACATAATTAAATAAAACTATACAGAGTGATATTCTGTAAAAAAAAAAACAGTACTAATAATTATTATTTTTAAATTACATCATATGAAATGTACAAATGTATATTTCATAAGATTTAATTTAGGGCTATGAATAAATTTATAACTCTCATTTATTATCTCAGCTCTCTTGACTAACTTTTTTTAACGATACATCAAATGATCACAATTATCTTATAAAATATATTAATCTTAAAATTAAAAAAAAATTCTCTTTATCAAAAAAAAAGTTGCTTAACCAGCTTTCTACATACAAAAAAATTTTAAGTATTTATTGACGAATTAGGTTTGATATAATAATAGGTGTTCACTACAAAATTAAATAATTGTTCTATGTAATTTATTTATTTTATAACTTTATTTGTGTGTGTTACTATGAATCTTTATATTCCAAAATTTATTTGTTACATGTTTCTATATCTTCTTTTCCTCATTAATTATATCCTTTTTATAAGGATATAATTAACTAGAAGTTTATGTTTAATTAATAATTTAATTATTAGAAAGTTGAGGTACCTGAAGAATTAGAAAAAATATTAAAGAAATTACCTGAAAATTATTTTTCAAATAAAGTTAGAATTGGAGAATTTATAAAAAAATTGTTGGAAACTGATGACAATAACGTACCAAAAATTGTTGACCAATTGGCATATTTCGATAGTAAGGAAGTTTACTTAAATATTTGTATTAAGTTCTACGACATACGTGTTTTCCCGACTTTTATGTTAGCTTCGATGCCAATGTTAGAACGTATTAATTTTATTATCATTATTCTTTTTTTTGTTATGGAATAAAAATGTTTTTATAAGACTAATATGCTATAATAATGTTAAAAAAGAGTAATGTAACATTATTATTAAGGAAATTCTATCAGGGACTTAAAATTGTTCAATCATTTATTTATTTTACTTAAAACTTATAAAATAACATTTTATAATTTGCAAGTTTATTTTACATAATAATGTAATAGCAAAATAAACTCCAAGTGTTGTACATACAGTTGTATAATATTGTTTACTTATCTCATTTTACTCTATTTGATCATTTGTTAAACCACATTAGAAATTCATTTTCATCATCTTGATACATAATATCATTATTAATGACAAAAAGCAAATTTCCTAAAAATAATTTAGGATAATGTTAAAATAATCACATTTTAAAATGGTTCCGACTTTTCTAAAACATTTTAGTATAAAAATTAGTTTTACTAAAATATTTTTAGTTTTTGTTCATTAGGTTAACAGGAAAAACATTTTCTCTGCTTAATTATTTTTAAAGTAAGAATAAAATTATGTATTTGTATTTTTTAGAAGAGGAATATATAGACGCAAGAATTTGTAGACAAATAATAAATAGTCAATATTACCCAATTCCTAGTAATTTTGTTAATAAATTTAATATGCTCAATTCTATATTTAAAAAATTTGATCAACATAAAACCGGAAGAATCGCTATTAGTTATTTCATGTATATCATCAAAAAAGTTCTTGTTAATGATATAGTACAAACAAATATATTAAAGAGTTTATCTGGCGTAAAAGACGTAAAAGACGTTTGTTATGAAGGTACGTATCAATTTTTACTTAAACATTTTCATTACATGATTTAACTAACATAATTTATTTTATATTAGCATGGTTATTGAAAAAAAGAAAAGATGTGTATGAAAGCCAATATGGTTTGAAAGGCTTATATATGAAATTTATAACTTAGATAGCATAGAAAAAAAAGTTTTTAATTTATATAAAAGTGCTTGATTTTTAAAATAAATCATATAATTACCAAAATACTTTTACATTTCTTAATAAAATATACAACAAAATAAACATTATCAACTGTATACATAGAATTATAATTATTTAGGTTACTTGAATGTATACTTAAACTATATTTTAATTACTTGTTAGATTTATCAAAAATAGGCTAAAATATGTTCGATCTACTTATGCGCGCTGACAAGTCGCCAGCTTACTAGAAAAATTATTATAAAGACGATACAGTCATAATGGACATCATACACCCAGAGAAAAACCTCGATCTATATAATGAATTCATTGTTCAATTTGATAAATATATCATTACTATTGAATCAATATGATAATTTTTTTTCTTGTCTTGAACAATAATTATTTATCAGAATAATTATTTTGTTCGTATTAATAAAACATTATCATAAACCCTTGATAAAATTTCTCTGTCAATATTGATTGAGGTTTTTCTTTGGGTGTAGTCGATTTTAATATTCGCATTTATTATTATTTTATTTATTTATTATATGTATTGAACGAGTTCGCACGTTTGGTCCATCGTGCCGCATCAAAAAATTAGTATATAATTTAAATTTGTAAGTTTTGTTATCGCCGTGCCCGTCGTCGTATGTTTGTTTCGATGAAGTGCGTAAGTGTATCGTCTAAGGTGTGTTTCGTATTTTTATTTTTTTATTTATCGTATATCCATTCGTAATTAGTTCGAGATTCGTTTAAGAATAGACTAAGTAAGTTCTAATTCTCATCACGTGCTATTCCTGGTGTTACGGTAAAAAAGCCATAATTCGTGTAACGTGTGCTATTATAGAAATACCATTGGTTTTTTTATTCGAAAGCCTATATAGTACACTGTACATTTAACACAATAGAGCGTTATTGTAATCTAGTTAGTTAAAAAACCCAGCATAAGGGGGATCGCGGTACAGTGGCGATGTAGCATAGTTGGATCAAGTATAATGATATCTAACAGTGATTAAAATCACTATAAAAAAAAACGCTTCGATGCAAATCTTTAGATAGTGTTTAATTTTAAAAAAATGATAGATTATTCCAAAAGCAACATGATCTGCTAGTTCATTATTAATATCCTAAATAAGATAAAGTATGTAGAATGAAAAAGGGATTATTAAAAAATATTATTTCTCATTAAAATATTATGTTGATCTATACACTTTTTAATAAGTTATAGCATTATAAAATTAAAAATGTAAAATACAAAATCGAAAATATTCACACAATAATAGCATTCGGTAGCTATTTTCACCGTGAAGATAAAATAAAGTACGAATTTTTTTTTTTTTGCATAATAAAGTACATTGCATTAGCTTTAATTTAAGATATATATAAAAGTGTCAGAATTTCCGGAACACTTTCAAAAGTTAAGTGTAAAAGTAAATTTTTTGTGAAAAAGTTGTCATTTTGAAACCCCGCCCCCCCGGGCAGTTAGAGGGTCAAATTTATAAAAAAAATATATCAAATGATAGTATGAAGTACCTCACGTATCTATATAAAAAAAATTATATTGATTGAATAATTTTGAATCTGAAAATTGCTATTTTCTTAAATTTAATGCCGCTTATGAGAGTTTACAAACCCAAACATTCAGTCAATTTAAAATTTCAATTTTGAAATTATGTTTTAATCATAATATATAAAATAAAAAGGATTCCCATTAAAGAAAATTATAAATAAGGATTTTTTTCCTTGAAGGGACGAAAAACATAATGGTTTGACTACATATTATAGTAGAGTTTTTTGAACTTGATATTTTTTCTCTATAATAAAATTTAAAATTCTCAATATTTTCTGAAAAAATGAGTGTCTTACCAGATTTGAATCACCTTGTATATTAAAAAATTATGTTTAACATAAGAGACAAAGATATATTTTATAAATAACCAATATATTTTTACATACGTTATTTTATTATACATTCAAATTTGATATTACTACATAACATATATGTTTAAATTTCTTAAAGAGCATTACAATTTTTTTTTTTCAATAACTGAATATCAAGAGAACATTTTTTAATTATTTCTTCGTTTATTTATATGCTTATTCAATACATGAAAATTATTTTATTAAATATTGACATAAAATAATAACTAAAAATACATAAAGTTATAATAGAATGTTTTACAACCAAATTTTAATAATTATTTGAAAATATAAATAAGAAATTCGAAGAATTGTGTATTAGATATTGAGAAACGCATTTTTTTTGATAATTTAAATATTAAATAAAATAATATGTTGAGCAAAAAAAGAAAGAAAAATTATCCATTTCATTATATGTATTAATAATAATGATATTTATAGTCTTATGTGTTGTTTGATAAAATGGCCACGTCTGCCATAAATATCAACGGCTCTCACAGCAAAATAGTACTTGTATCCTGGTATGTATCCAGTTAAAAAGTATTGCATTGGATTTGTAGATGATGCAATATTATTTATGAGAATCCAGTAGGGACAGTTTTCATAAAGATTACTCCAATAATATAGTTCATAATAACAAATATCCTCATGGCGTTTTTTTAATTCCATCTCCCATTGAAGCATCAGGAACATTTCATTTTTTTTTATTGTAAGACTTATTGGCGCTGGTGGGATATTATTCCGGCCAGGCTCGTTTTCAACAGGCAACGGTGGCGGATACCTGAGATTTGTTCTTCCCATAGATGGAAAGAATGCGTTGTGTTCAAATAATAACGGTTCTTCAAAATCACTCAGGCATTCCATTTCTACAAAATTATTATCAATTTAATCAAATATTGCCAAAAAACTTGAAAAAATTAATTATCTAGTAAAATTTGAAAGGAAGTAAAATTACGGAGTGCAGTTATTTTCTTAGAAACAATGTTAATTATTAAATAATAAGTTATGTAATCATAGAAACAAAACTGCAAATAAACATGTGAAAATGAGTGCAGCTAATGTTATTGGCCTATGAATATAAATACTTGTAAAATGTTCTTATTTAATTTCTAACGCAAAACGAATTTTTAGGGGGTTATTATATTAATATTATTTATACAATTTTATATTAAAAGATAAAAAGTTCTAAAAAATTTTATGCATGGAGAAACACTACATGTTATTGCAACTCTATCACCAATTATAAATCCGAATTAAGGGGAAAGTGACGCCTCGTGGCCAACGAGCTTATCTAGTGAGACCCTTATTCTCGTATTTTTCTAGTCTAGTCATGATTTGTCACAGATTTGAACAAATTACGTTAGTAACTAGTGCTTGGATTACTTAATACTTGTAATAATTTGAATCAAGTGATAAAATATGTTATAATTTTTGTAATATGAAATATTTTTGAATAATTATTCGAATTTTGTAATAAAATATTTAATAATAATATAATGTGTTTTCAATTGTAAAAAAATAATTGATGCGTTCATGTCTTAATTTTATAAAGAATAGTTTTCATTTTATGATACGGATTCATTTTTTAATTTACATGTTAAAAAAAACCCAGCACAGAGGGGTCGCGACACATTAGTGACGTAGCATAGTTGGATCAAGTATAATGATATCTAACAGTAACTAAAATCACTATGAAAAAAACCCCTTCGATGCAAATCTTTAGATAGTGTTTTATTTTAAATATTGGTGGATTATTACAAAAGCTACATGATCTGATGTTTTCTTATTAATATCCTGAATGAAAAAGAGATTATTAAAAAATATTATTTCTTATAAAAAAATTGTGTTGATCCATATACTTTTCAAAAAGTTACAGCATTATAGAGTTAAAAATGTAAAAAATAAAATCGAGAATTATCACACAATAATAGCATTTGGTAGCCATTTTCACCGTGAAGATAAAATAAAGTCCGAAATTTTTTTTTCAATGATTAAGTATATTACATTAGCTTTAATTTAAGATATATATAAAAGTGTCAGAATTTCCGGAACACTTTCAAAAGTTAAGCGTAAAAGTAAATTTTTTGTGAAAAAGTTGTCATTTTGAAACCCCGCTCCCCCGGGCAGTTAGAGGGTCAAATTTATAAAAAAAATATATCAAATGATAGTATGAAGTACCTCACGTATCTATATAAAAAAAACCCAGCACAGTGGGGTCGCGGCATAGTGGGGATGTTGCATAGTTGGGTCCAGTATAGATTTTATCTGACAGTGATTAAAATCACTATCATAAGAAACGCTTCGATGCAAATCAGTAGATAGTGTTTAATTCTAAGAAATTGGTGGATAATTACAAAAGCT